GGCGCTCAGCCTTCCTTATAGTCCAACTCTCGCAGTCTCTGTAATCACATTCATTGCCTTGTAGAACTTGCAAAACAATGTACAGGCTTATGGTTAAACCCCATCAAGTGCCTGAATTTATGTCCATTTGATTAACACATGCTAAAGCATTTTACTACTGATTGACATGAGACAGTATGAGCAACTAAAAATATACTTTAGAGTCCCTTGCTATCCTCAGCATTTCCATCAGGTGTAGCTATGATATTAGATAGATTCATATTACAATCTACTATGTATAAAAAGGATGAAACACCCAACACAGAAGATCTGATTGTTTCCTTGTATTTAATATGGTACTACAAAATCCTGTTATTGATGTTTAGCTTTCCTTGACTAACATGGGAATTTAGTTCCATGCACATGTCAAGATACGCTCTCAGGGAAAATGCCCTTTCAAGCCGTACTCTATATTTTTCTGCACCAAAGTATCTGAGGGCCAAACTCAGAAATGTATGTGAACAGTCATAACGTTGATATGAATTTTTCAATAAGGAGACTTGACATCCTCATACATGTAATACAACTCTATGTATTCAACATACACATTTGTTAAAAAATGCCCAAAATTTGGATGTTATCACCATTGAAGAATTAATTGTAATCTCATTTTGTATCTGATATGCCCTCCCAATGGTGATTAAAATTTAGACATTGTGAGGTGAGGGATGTTGCAAGGTTACCTTTTGTATCAGCTGACCAAACTCCCTATAGTGTGATCCCACTCACTCCCCCCCCCCAATTAGACCCTTCCCTAGATTACAGTGGCATTCCCCCCCCCGGGAAATGCCATTCATATTGCCTTTAAATTTGATGGACAGGGGCTCAGTCCACTGAGCTGAACGAGAGGCCTCTGTCCACCGGGAACTCACCCAGGCAATCAAGGTCCCAAGCCATGCCTAGGAGGCTCCTCACATTCCCAGGCAGCACACTCTGGTCACCACACTTTAGCCTTCAGCCACACATATGGCTTCTACAGAAGTTGGTCAGTAACTATTCAGCAGGTTTTGTCAGTTCGGGAAATGACTGAATACTTCACTTCATGCAATCACGCACATAGCATAATGCTTACAGTAAGCAGCTTACTGGAAGCAGTAGTTTTCATTACTGATTGATGGCACGGCAGTGGTATACAGCTGCTGTTCACACCTGCATGACACCACACCTGTATGTCACTGCGTTTTGAATGTGGCTGTATAGCATTTGTTTTTGTTTTTACATTCCATCTCAGAGATATATTAAGAAAAACAAATTTTAAAATGTGGGAAGTAAGAGTGGCTACGGGATATGAGAAGAAAATGCTACAGCAAATCATATACAACCTACAGCACTCTAGCATGAAGGGCAGTGAATACATAGATAACAAGAAAGAACTCATGAGAATGGGAAATACGTTAAATAACCTTTACTAAGTTATGAGATTCCATAGGCTGAGTTAAATCTTTTTTTGACTTTATCCTCCTTCTCTCCCATTTTCTTTTCTCCTGTTATTGGGTTTGTATGATGAATATATATATTGACTGGGATGTAGGAGCAGATCAGTAACAAAGACCTATCACACACAATAGCCTGTAACTTTGTGCAAACTGTGAAGGAACATCAATGTATGAAAAGTTAGAGTCTTTCATCAACTGTTTTTAAAATAGCTACACGATATCATCATGGTCATTCATAGGGTCACTAAATGTAGGAAGCGACTTGATGGAACATAACACATACACATGGCATCATGGGAGAAAAACAAGTGCCTGAGCAAGTACTGCTTCGTACTGTCTTTCATTTCCTCAAACCAAAGCCCAGCGCAGCCCCATTCTAGAAGTAGGCAGAAACAACAGAGACAAAGAAATTATGCCCCCTCCCTTGGGCTATATGCCTGGATGGAAGACTGGAAAATCAAATTGAGGGTTGCATTGCAATTACAAATGCTTTCCACAACACACTTTTGCAGTCCTCTTGCTGCTTTTGTACACATTAGTATATCACTGGCTCATATGTGCTAAAAATATCAAAGGTCATTAAATAGGGTTGCCAAGTCGTTGCAGTCGCCGCAGCGGGGGACTCCCGGGCGGCGACTGGAGCGCACGCACGCTCCATAGAGAAAACCATAGAGTTTCCCCTCCGATGGTCGTGGCCCCACCCCCAGCATGCTTGGCATCCTAACGTCACTTCCTGGTGACATGCACGTCAAGGCGGGGTTCCCCCCGGGGCCCGATCCGCCCCCCGGGGGGGACTTGGCAGCCCTATCATTAAAGCTGCAACACAAACACTTTGAATGAAATCCTATATTGTGCTGTATGTTAGAGCTCAGAATATAAAACCATAGCAGATCCTTTTTTATGATAGTAGTGAAAAGTGTCATCAAGTCACTGTTGACTTGTGGCAACCTTTCATGGGGTTTTCAAGGCGAGAGATGGTCATAGGTGGTTTGCCATTGCCTACCTCTGCATCACAACCCTAGACTTCCTTTGTTTCCCACCTAAGTACTAACCAGGGTCCACCCTGCTTAGTTTCTGATGAGATTGGGCCAGTCTGGATCATCCAAGTCAGGGCTTTTTCCCTATAAAATCTCTAAATCACAAGATAACTACAATGTGACCATTTTGGGGTTTTTTCCTCATATAAACATATAAAAAAAGAAACAATTTCTGCATTTTGGATGCTTTGCAGTACAATCTTGTGCAGAGTTACTCCAGTCTAACAATGCTGATTTCTTTGGTCTTAAACTAGGAATGGGCACAAACAGGCAGACGAACTAAAGTTCGTCACACATTTTGGCTTGTTTGTGGTTTGTGAAGCAATGCTCACGAACGTAAGAACCGCCACGAACTTTCATGAATTTTGATGTAGTTTGTGGTGGTTTGTGAAGAGCAGAAAGCAGGGGTTTAAAAAGCACCAAGCAGGCCCGTAGCCACAGTGGTGCAAAAAGGGGTGGTGCCCCATCAATCAGCATTACATGTTGCTGTAAAATTGGTCACACCCCCTTTCACGTGTACATTTTCTTTGTAAAATAGGAAAGAGTTGAGGTACAAAGTGTGAAACCTGTCATAAATCTTCCAAGGGTGAATTCTCTATGCAATTGGCCAGAACAGAATTAGCAATTAGCAGGGCTGAAGAGTCCTGATTTTAAAAGCCTGCAGGGGTGTTGAGTGACACTGTTAGAAGTCTTAAGTTAGTGATTTACAGCGAAAAGAAGGTTTTGGGTTTTAGTAACTGGAAGAAGGCTCTCTGTAAACTATGCTTGGGAGGGAACTTTTATAAAGCTTACAGAGAGCAGGACTGTAGTCTATGCCACAGTGTATGCTATATATTATTGATCTGCTGTATGTTCTATCACGCTCTTACAGCATTGTTTTCATTTTTTGTAATTCCATTTTCTGCAGTGCTTGACACAGCATGTTTGATACTTTTTTGCATTTTTGTAATTTTTGTATGCCTAGTCCTATTGCATTTTATTAGACCTCATATGTTGTTTAATTACAATGTTCTGTACCATGAAATCCACTTTGGCTGAGTTCAGACTGACAGTTTGAAGCACAAGGGAGTCGTGGCAAAAAAAGACCTGGAACAACTTGTTCTGGGTAGTCCCGGTCACACTGCACCGACTGATGTGGGAGCATACCGGGGAGGAGGCGCAAGGGAGCGTTTGCACTGTTGGCCCACCCCTGGCAGAGGCGCAGCTGTAAGGTGCGGCTTTCTTTTTGGTAATCCGGAGATATGCGCTTCCAGGAAGCGGGATGAACGCACTCTCCAGGGTTTGCTACAACTTTCACCAAGTACTTTTTAAACTCGGGAGGGAAGCATTACAAGATGGGCTGAGTACGGCTGGGGAACGCCGGACAGCTGTGCCTGTGTGAACGGTCCCTTTAATCCATTCGAGAAACGTTTCTGAAACGTGCCTATATCAGGCCAAACTGCCAGTCTGTACTCAGCCTTTGAGTCTCAAGTAGAAAATTGGTAAATAACTAATAAAGTAAAAGTAATAAAATAAATAGTGGGGTGACCACCAACATACTCATTTACCCCTCCCCCCAATAACATTTTTCTGGCTACAGGCCTGGCTCTAAATCTGGAGCTGACTGCCCAAGAAAGCCCCTTTAAACAGCTGAGCCATGGGAGCAGTTTGCTCCATGTGGCTCAGCTGCTTAAAGGGGCTTTTTTGCAGCACTGGTGGTCCAAGAAAGCCTCTTTAAACCTGAGCAGTGCCGAGCAGGCTGTCCCATGGCTCAGCTGTTTAGACAGGAAACAGCTGAGCTGCAGGAGCAGGCTGCCACCACTGCTCAGCTGTTTCAGAAACAAACCTCACGAACCCAGGTCAGTTCGTATGCGAACTGACTGGGTTTATGGGGTTTGTGGTTTGGTTTGTGGATTACCCATGAACCAAACCACATTTTTGTGGTTTGTGCCAATCCCTAACTCTATATAAGAGCTAAACTGTTAATCCACAAAATTAATGAAAAACAAAGGAAGGACTTTAAAAAAGATTTCTTGAATTTCAGCAACTACATTAACACTATTTCATCAAGCTGATTAATAAATGTATACAAGCCTAGGTGGAAAAAACACTATATTTTATAAAACTTTTTGTATAGCACAAAAATTCACTGGACTAACTTGGCCAAAATATAAATAACTAGGAACAATTCAAACAGTCAGTTACTACTACACTCATACTACTACTATACTTATACAACTACTACACAGTTCAGATAGTCAGTTAAGCATAGTGTGTAAAAATTAGTTAAGTCTAACAAAATGGAAGAGCCTTGAGAAAAATATTAAACCCAAATTGATGGTGTCTAACTTTCTAATAAACTACTGAAATGTCATATTAAATAAACAATGACTGCCAACTCTAGTGTAGATATACAAAACATCCCCCAAACCTTAGAAGTCCCAGAGTTCCTGTACTCCATCAATTTGTTTGAGCTTTAATCAGATAAACAATGAAGAGATACACTTACCTGGCACACCAGGTGGTGTTTTCAGGTACTTTCCATTAAAATGCTGTATAACTACTTCACATTTTTCAGTAGATTCCATCCTGGGGGTGGGGGGAGAAAAAAACATTCAAAGAAAATGATTACCATTGAATATCTATCCATTTACAGTTTATCAAGAAAGAGCTTCCTGATGGGGAGAAAACGTTCACAAACTGTTCTTGCTGAACCATATAATCAAAAAAGCATGTGGGGTGTTTTATTACCATGTTGCTTTAACTGACAATAAATAGTGTTGCATTTCTATAGCCATAGTGCCATACTGTTTAATTATCAAACCACTTACTACATTACACATTACTGTGTGCTAACAATCCCACAGCTCTACTACCTCACATCTACTCTGCCCATGACCCCAAGAATGATCTTTGGGGGGGGGGCAGAAAAGGCTACAGGAATAAAGACGAATGCAGGAAAACTTCCATACACAGATGGTTGGTCTCTGTTTTTCATTGACTTTCTGCCCCTCCAAGTTACTTTCTGAGGCTGCGGTCACACGGAGCATTAGCCACACTACTGAGACGGATGATAGGTGGATTTTCCAGGCGCGATCACACCACAACATCTGGGAAGTGTAGAGCTTCCATGGCGAACCCGAAGCTTCCCGCCAAAGATGCGGAGTTAAAACCTAGTACCTCTGAGGTACTAGTTTCCGGAAACCGCGGGGCAAGGGCTGGCGTCTGATCGCGTTTCCAATGGTAGTCCGTGGCATCCAGTACCCGCCCATGTCCCGTCGCAAACAGTCCCCCCCCCAAGTCTCCACAGGATGTGCACAAACACCCAATGGTCCATGCGCACGAAGAGGAAAGCGAAAGTTCTGTTGCTCCGCAGAATCGTGCATGCCGTTGGTGAGATCGTGCCGCTTCTTTGCCACGCTGCAGGATCATCGTGTGATCGTCACCTTGCCCCTACCCATGGGACCTCGACGGGACCTGTGATTGGGCGGCCGCACGTTATTTTGCTCCGGGCCAAACTGCCACGCTTCCCTCCCCCCCGCATTTTACGGCCCGTGTGACCAGGGCCTAACTTAACTTTCTGCTAGAAGATGTAGCAGTATTTCCCGGAGAATCTGCCATTAAAAGGACAGAGTACAAGGTTTTTGTCTTGCAACCTGTTCCAAACTTTTAATTTTTTTCTGTCCATAGAACTGTCTGCCACTTGGATGTTTAGTTCTTATCACAATGGCTCTCTAGTGAGGATACTGAAATAACCAAAATCTCTTTTTCTGCTTAAATCTGATCTTCTTTTCAAAAGGAACTAATAGCTGTAGAATACAGCTTAGCTTGGAAGAAGAGGTATACCAGCACATCCTCCTGGAGTGCAAAGATACTCTCTAAGCACAGGGTGGTACAAAGTTTGCATTTTACTGCAGAAGTTTCAGACACAGTTTGGAAATCTTGACAAGGGGATAATTAACAGTATCAAATTTTATGTTACTTTAATGTTTCAGGCAGAAACATTAAAGAGTCCCTCGTGGCTTGTAATCACTGCCGTCTTTTGCAGTCCTATTTTTATTTTTTTTTAAATCCTGCTACCAACATGTAGGATGGGCCATTTATATGAACACAAAAGAATGGAGCTGAGATTGTGCACTTTAGCTTCATTCAGATTTAACTAAGCGTATGTCGGCAGCGATTCTTTAGAGACTCCTGACTCTGAAAGAATAAATGCAATGAAAGTCTGTTTTCTGTAGCTGCAGGCGTGGAGTGTCAAACCATGTTATGCTGCACCACGCAACAGTGACAATTTCATTTTAATACATGGAAGCAAATTGTAACAACCCAAAGTATTCCCAGACAAGAATGCAATGCAGGGGCTGCCAATTTAAAGAGCTTCTTCTGTACACTTCATGAATTTTATGTGGGAAGAGAATAAAAAGTGAAACCCACAGTGCCCTGGATTGACAAAAGGAGGGCCCTCACTTGAAAGAAGGGCTCCAGTTTTGTCTTGGGTTTCACAATTAACAACTCTCAAATGCTAGAACTAGCTTTCTGTAATCCGGCACACAAGTCACTTTAAACAGACACTAGCATTATCACCTCCATCTGAAAATGAAACATAATAGGCAAAGCAGTTCATCCCATGTTCTTTTCAGATGCACTTCTGAATAACTATCCGGCCCCACAGGAGGCAGCCAACGGCATGCCTCCTGGGGGCCGCTTTTGCCTCCTCGTGAGGAGGAATGGAGGAAGGGCTGCGGTGCAGCCTCAGCTCCTAAAGGGGGAGCGGAGCCAGCGCAGTTCTTTAAGGCTGGCTCCGCTCTACCCCTGGCAGTTGCTCGGAGAGAAAGGAGCACAAGGCAGTTAGGGAGCCTTCTTAGGCTTGGGGCCTGGGCGGTGGATCTCACCAGCGTCGGGACGAGCACAGCAACGTGGACGACAGCCTGAAGAGGCTCTCGGCGGCTGCAGCTTATTGGCGGCACTGGCGTTGGCATTTGCTGAGGGAACACACTGGGGACGCTGATGGCTGTGGCGCGCTCTGCACCGGTGGCAGAGGCTGGCTGGGCTGCTTGGGGCAGTTCCAGCCACTTTTAGTAAAAGAAAAAGAAGAAAGAAAAGGAAAGGAAAGGAAAGGAAAGGGGGGAAAAAGCAGGAAGGAATGTTTCTGTGGTGTGGGGTGAATTGGGAGGTCCTGTGGGTGTAGGGGCAGTTGGTGAGGCTGCCTTGGGCCCCAGTTTTTCCCTTCTATTATACCCTCCCCCGCTGGTAGCTCCTACAGTGGCCTGTGTGGTGGCTCAATAGCCATAAGGTCCAATTGCCAGCTTAGCCCACCCACCCCCTAGCCATTCCACTCTCAGTTGAACAAATTACCCTGGTACTTTGGCAGGCTAGTCCCCCTGGTGTTGTAATATGTCCAG